GATAGAGGTTCTGTTCTCATTAGTATTCATTTCCCAACCCCTTGGCACTGCAACTCCTGGCAGTCACAAACTTACCTTCTGTTCTGATTACCTATGCAAGACGTTTCATGTAAATGGAATCCTACAACTTGCAGCCTTCCCATCTGGATTCTCTCCTAGAGCCTGCTTCTGAGGTTCATCATGCTGTAGCATGACTTAATGGCACATCCTTTTCACAGCTGAGTAATATTCTGTTGTGTGGATGTACCACATTGTATTGATCCATTCATCTTTTGGGGGATAGTTAGGGTAGTTTCCACTCTTTTGGCTAATTTGTTGCCAAATAAAGTCAGGGACACTTTGTACAGGCTTTTGTGTGGCTATGTCTTCATTTCTCTTAGAAATTCACTGAGAGGTGAAATTGTTGGGTCACAGGGTTATCTCATGGTTAGCTTTTGGAGGAACTACCAAACTGATTTTCAGACTGTTGGCATCCTGTTAAATGCCCATAGAACTGTAGTAGGTTCAATTTGCCCCTTTTTGCCCCCTAATATATGATCTTGTCTTTCTGCTTTTCTGACGGCAGGGGGGATGGAATGGCATCTCATTGTGACTTTGATTAACCCTTTCCTTGGACTAATGGTGCCCGGCCTCCCATGTGGTCCCCGAACACTGCCAGGAGCAATTCCTGAGTACAGAGCCAGGTGTGTAACCCCTGAGCATTGCCAAGTGTGACCCTTAAAGCAAAAATAAAATAAAAGTTTGTTTTGGGGCCACACCTAGTGTCACTCAGGAACTATTTGCAGTCCTGTGCTAGGAGGACCATTTAGTGCCAGGGATCGAACCCAGGGCTCCCACGTAAATAACATCTACTCAGCCTACTGGGCCATCTTTTCAAACCCCAAACTTTTTTTTGGTTTGGGGGGGTGCTGGATATCAAACCCCAGACTTTTTATTTACAAAGCAAGTGCTCTACCACTGAGCCACAATCCTGTCTTCTTTTGTGTATTTTTTTAAATTTATGTATTTTATTGAATCATCATGAGATGCACAGTTACAAAGTTGTTCATGATAGGATTTCAGTCATACAATGTTCCAACACTGGCCCCGTCACCATTGCACATTTTCTACCGCCGATATCCCCAGTTTCTCTCCTGCCTCCCCTTTCCCCATCAGCCTCTATGGCAGATACTTTCTCTCTCTCTCTGTCTCTGTCTCTCTCTCTCTCTCTCCCCCCTCCCTCCCTTTCCCTTCCTCTCCCTCTCTTTTACCCTCTCCCTCTCCTTTTGGACACTACAGTATTTGCAAAGCAGATACTGAGAGGTTATCAGGTTATCATGTTTACTTCCTTTCAGCATGCAGTTCTTTTAAGGGAGAAGGCAGCTGAGTTAGAAAAGGGACTACTGTGACGATGATAGTTGTGGAAATGATCACTCTTTTGTGTATTTTAAAATTGGTTTCTAGGTCTTTTTTATTGTAGAGTCATAGGATGTGTTTACATCTGGTCCTGTTTTTATCAGATGATTTACAAATATTTTCTTCCAGTCTGTGAGTTGCTGGCTTCTGCTTTTACCAAAGAATTTTCACTCCACTTATCTCTGAAATGTCACACTAACAAGCACATATTTAAACTCAAAAGAGTAAATGGCGTTTCCCACAGTTTAAACTCCCCCTGCCCTGTTTCTTTTCTACTTCGCCTTTGTGGTGGTGTTGGTGGTAGGTGGTGTGCCTTGCTAATAGGGGTTGGTTGGCTATGGGGTGCTTGGTTGTGGGCTGCCTGGCTTGGTCATGGTTGGTGCACTGGAAGTTGGGCACTTGGTCACCTGCGAAGCTGAGGCTGTGGGAGGGTGGCAGGAATGGAACTCTTAGCCTCATGCATGCAAGACAGGCGCTCTACCACTGAGCCACCTCCCCTTGGGCCAGAGACATTTGTTCTTTGGGTTTTTGGGTCACTCCTGGCAGTGCTGGGGATGGCTCCGGTGATGCTCGGTGGGGACTGCATTGTGCTGGGTGGTAGCACCTGGGACTCCAGGGTGCAAAGCATACACTAGGCAGGGTATGTTCACGGCCATATTTCACTGGTCCTCCCCTCTCTGAGACTTCACGGCCCTCTGTTCCCTACCGCTGCAGGAATTAGCAGCAACAGCCCTCACTGCTTGCCCACAGTCAGAGACACAATCACAAAGCTGTTCACGGTTGGGTTTCCGTCATATCCTGTTGCAACACCCATCCCTTCCCCAGTGTTTATTTCCCAACATCCCCCTTCTGCCACGCCCACCCCCACCTCCACAGCCTGCCTCTATGGCGGGCACTTTGCTTCTCTCTGTCTCTCTGTCTCTGTCTCTCTCTCTCTCTCTCTCTCTCTGTCTCTCTCTCTCTCTTCTTTTGGGTATTATGGTTCGCGATACAGGTGCTGAGAGATCATCGTGTTTGTTCCTTTGCCTACTTGCAGCATGGGTTTGCAAGAACAGACAAAGGTGACTTTTTTAATTTTCTTTCTGGGTCACACCGAGTGATGCACAGGGGTTCCTCCTGGCGCTGCACTCAGGAATCACTCCTGGCGGTGCTTGGGAGACCATATGGGATGCTGGGAATTGAACCTGGGTCGGCTGTGTGCAAGGCAAACGCCCTCCCCACTGTGCTATGACTCCAGTCTCCACAAAGGTGGCTTTTTACATTTTGATACCCCCAGCCTCTGGCCCAACAAATGCTTTGGTGAATAAACGATTGAATGCCAGGTACCCAGCCTTCAGGCTGGCTCCTAGTTAGGAATCTCCTTCCCTGTTAGCATCATGGGCTCACGTCTGGCTGTTTTGTGTGGGAATGCATCAGGGGCCCAGGTTTCTTGCCAGTTTAGTTCCAGTTCATTTCACTTCAGGGCATCTGAGTTTTTTCATACAGGTACAACCACTCCTGGTCCCTGCTTGTTCCCTTTCCCTGGACTCTGTGTAGGTACCACCCTGGAAAGGAAACTGAAGGAGATGGAGTAACTTTTGCTTTATGATTCTTTTATTCATTTCATTTTTACTGTTTATTTCCTGTCTTCACAAAGGATTTGCAGAGGCCAATAATAGTTCTAATGAAAACTTAGGAGTTGGGGGCAGGATCCAGGACCTCAAGTGAACCTGCTGTATTATCTCTCTGGCCAACATTTCTGTTTCACACTTTCCTGGACTTGGTCAGTTCTTACGACACAACAAGATCTGGGGCTGGGAGAATTTCTAGCATTTTCTGAGAAGCAGCTTCTGCAAATAGGAAACAATCTGGAGACACATAACCCAGAGGTTCCAAACCTGGTTTCACCACCTAAACAGAATGACCCAAGAGGGGTCACTGTACCTTTCCAAGCTTCCGTTATTTACTCTGTAAACTGTGGGTTCTAATTCTTCTTTTCCAGGATTGGGAAAAATTAAATGATAAAAGGTACCTGATTTAAAAAAGAGAGTGACAGGCAAAAGGAAAACTGAGAAGGCATAGCTATCATTGTTGAAGAATGAGAAGCAAGTTACGTTGGGCACAGAAAGTGAATTCATCAAGTCTGTAACTGTAGTTGTTGCTGGGTTTTGCTTTTGGGCCACACCTGGGCTTACTCCTGGCTCAGGAATCACTCCTGGTGGTGCTCAGGGGACCCTATGGGATGCTGGGGATTGAACTGTTGGCCACCTGCAAGGCAAACGCCCTCCCCACTGTACTATCACTCCAGCCCTATAACTTTAGTTCTGCTCTGAAACATGTGCTTAAAAATGTGTGTGTTGGGAGATGTGTGCGGAAAGTAGATCAAGGAGCAAGCATGATGGCCTCTCAGTATCTGCATTGCAAGCCATAATGCCCAAAAGTAGAGAGGATGGTGAACATTGTCTGCCATGCAGGCAGGGGCCGGGGGGAGTGGGGGTATGCTGGGGACATTGGTGGTGGGGAATATGCACTGGTGGAGGGATGGGTGTTTGATCATTGTGTGACTGTAACTCAAATATGAAAGCTTGTAACTGTATCTCATGGTGATTCAATAAAATTCAAAACAAAGTGTGTGTGTGTGTGTGTGTGTGTGTGTGTGTGTGGTGTGTATGTATAATATTTACTAATTATCAAACGAACACCTTGACTGGCCACCTGAACTCCAGGAGACCAATATCCTTCCGTTTTTTGGGGGGGGGGTGGATTTCTGAGCCATACCTGGAAGTGCTCAGGGCTTACTCTTGGCTTTGTGCTCAGGGATCACTCCTGGCAGTGCTTGGGCAATCATATGGGTGCTGGGGACTGGACCTGGGTCAGCCAAATGCCTTACCTGCTGTGCGACCACTCTAGCCCATCCAATATCCTAACCTTGCTTTCTTAGTGCACACCGCTCTATGCACACAGCGAAACAAATGTTTTGCTTTTGAATATTGTATTAATGAAATCATACTTTAGTCTATTGTCTGGTTTCCCTCAGCATGAAGTTTTTTAAAAATTGAGGCACTGTGTCAGCATTGTTTTTAAAAACTCCTTATGTCATTGTGTTTAGTTGTAGTTTAATTCCTTTCCATTGTTGCATAAAAACGCAATATAAAATAAATTATTCTTTCTGATGAACACTTGAGTTGTTTCCAGTTTTCTTTTTCACCATTATGCTGTACCGTACTATTTGTACATTCTCGCGCGCATGAGTCATAAACTGCACGTCTTCAATCTTAGCAAACGAGGGCCAACTTCTTTTAAAAAAAAACAACCTCGTACTAATTTACACATCCATCAGCTATGCATGAATGAAGCGTAGCGCTACATCTCCACTCCCCTAAAGCAAAAACAAACAAAAACGGCATCAACAAGCCCTGGGCCTCTGTTACTATATCTCTACGTTTGCTAGCCCTTTGGCTGAGCTCGCCAATAAAATCCCTCTCCAGTCTCTGGCCTTGGAATTGATCTTAAGACATCCTGACAGTTTCGATACCTTCACCTACTTATTGCAGGCTAATCAATTCAAAGATGTAGAAACTGAGGCAGGAGGAAGCGGGGCTACAGGAGCAAGCAGCCCGCAGAGCATGGCCTGTCTGCCTTCCGCAGCAGCCCGGATCGCCCGGGCCACCTCCGGGGGGAAGACCTCCAGGGACGCCGGCTCAGAACAGCTGCGTCCCAAGGCAGCGCCCGGCTTAACCGCCAATTTCAAACTCCCGGGACAGCCGCGCCCGGAGCGTGCCCCTTCGCCTTTTCCTATTGGTCGCGAGGTCACCGGCAGGAGCAACGTGATTGGCTGGGCCGTTCACTTCCCCGTCCGCAGGGACTGGGGCGGGTCCCGGCGGAGCCGCCCGCGTCTATCACCGGATCCGGCGCGCTGATTCGCCCGGAGTCGGCTGCGCCCCGCCCACGACCCCCGGTTCAAACGCGGCGGCGGGACGCGCGGGGCGGAGCAGCGCGCGGACTGGCGGGGGCTGCTCGAGCGTGAGTGGGACCCCGCTGCCCCGATTCTCCTCTGCCCCACTCGCCCAGGCGCGGGGGCGAGGTCTCCCCTGCACCCCCGCACCCCGGGCCGCTCCCCCGGAGCAGCCGGCCGGGCTGCGGCTCGGATCCGGGAACTGCCGGGGCCGGTGGGTCCTCCCGGGCCGCGGTGCGGGTGGAAGCGGGTGGAAGCGGGGCTGGCCGCCCCTGGTTGCGACGCGGGGGACCCCTCCTCTGGGCTTTCGGGCGGTGCCTGCCGTCAGCGTTGCCCGCCTGAGCCCACCTCGGGGAGGCCGGGGCTCTGGGGGACCGAGGGGGTCCGCGCCGGCCCCCTGCCCCCTGCCCCAGCCCGCCCGGGGCTCCCGGCCCCAGCCCTTTCGCTTCAGCCCGTCTTTCACTTGCTGTGCACGATTTTCGTTTGTTTGTTTGCGATTTGTTTTTGCCGCACCCGGCGGTGCTGAGGGCTTGCTCCTGGCCTGCCCAGGGCTGACTGCTGGCAGGGCTGGGGGGAACCGCAGGACCTTTGGCCACGTGCAAGGCTAGCATCTTCCCTGACCCTGTGCTGACTTAGGAAGACCAGGCTCTGCCCTCTCGGGACCTTGGCTCTGGCCTGGCCTTTGCTGGGGTCCCTTTGCTGGCAAACATCTCTGTTCTGTGGAATTTGCTTAGGAAACCCAGGGGGGCTGGAGGGGTTAATACATTTATAAGAGAGCCTGTAAGAGAAGTTCACCATCTGTTTGCAGTGGGTTAACACCTGGTTCTTACTTCTAATTTATTTTTATTTATTTGTTTGCTTTTAATGGGATCACTGTGAGATGCTCAGTTACAAAGTCGTTCATGACAGGAGTTAGGAGTTAGGATCAGTGGTTGGAGCTCACCACAAGTGTGTGTGGGCCTGAGGGCAGGTAAGATAGAGGAGAGACCACCATGACGATAATACCTGGGGATGGTCCAGCTGGGACAAGAGCTGAGGGTTAATGAATGCCTGGAAATACTTGCTCATTTCAGATTCCAGCAAGGCCCGTGGCTCTCTTCCAGGGCTCGTTTTCCGTGGCTCCCGCTGAGATGTGGCGTCTCACCCACCATTCTCACTGCCGCGTCATAGCTCCTTGGGGCCTGGGGTTGGATTTCCCGAAGAGTGCTTCTTGGCTGCCCGCCTGTGTGCTCCAGAAACCCTCTGTGCATTCCCTTTGCCCCCTTTTCAGGAGAGGGCTTTTGGGTTTTTGTTTTTGAGCCTGCCCTCGGCTGTGATCAGGGTCTGGTCACTCCTGATGGAGTTCCCAGGACTGTAGGCAGTGCCGGGGATCGAACCCAGGTAAATTGCACATTTCACCCCTGTGTTATCTTTCTGGCCCAGCTTTTGGATTTTTTTGTGGTTGATCTCTGGAGTGCTTTTTCTTCTTCTATTTTTTTTTTTTTTGCTTTTTTTTGGGGGGAGGTGTGTCACACCCCGGGATGTACAGGGATTACTCCTGACTCTGCACTCAGGAATTACTCCTGGCAGTGCTGGGGGGCGGGGGAACGATATGGGATACCGGGATCTAACCCGGGTCAGCCTTGTGGTAGGCAAACTCCCTACCTGTACTACAAACTCCCTGCTGTACTATTGCTCCAGTCCCAGAGTGCTTTTTATGTCTCGGATCGTAACCCTTTATCTGATGTGTTGAGTGCAAATATTTTCTCCCGTTTAGCTGAGTGTCTTAGTTTTAGCCTGTATTTTCACTTGCCACGCAGAATTTTTTTGTTTGTGTTTTGTTTTTGCTACACCCAGTGGTGCTGAGGGCTCCTGGCTCTGCCCAGGGCTCACTCCTGGCAGGGCTTGGGGGAACCATAGGACCTTTGGCCATGTACAAGGCTAGCACCTTACCCCGTGTAGATAAATTTAAAGTTTCATTTGATGTAGTCTGTTTATTTTTTGTTTCTGTACTCTTTGCCAGTAGAAACATATTATTGAAAAGACCCTTGAGATACCGTTATCGGAACTGTGGATGCCTGAAAGTCTATAATGAATGGCTCTGTAAATCATGATGCATTCATGCAAAAACGTTCAATATTATAAAAAGGAAAAAACCCTGGAAAACCTGCCTTGCCAGGCTCTCAGAGAACTGTCTGCAGAGAACTTTTCTGGACTATTAAAAAATGCAGTCATCTTCGGGCACTTCTGGCATTTTAGTAATTGCACGGGCACAGACTCTGCTAAGCACCAGTGTTCTTATCTTGCAGTTTAGAATTTTTTAAAAAAAAACTTGAGTAACACATCTCCTTCCAACATATGTGGTTTGCTTATTTCAGGCATTCATTCAGTAATTTTATTAGCACCTGTTTGGTTCCAGCCTTTAAGCCTCTCCATGATACAAGGACAACAATCTCAGTTCTGTGGAATCTACATTGGAAAGGGGGAGATTTTTAAGAGACCTTTTTATCAGAGAAGTCATCACCATCTGTTTACAGTGAATTAATATTTGGTTTTTATTTTAAATTTATTTTTAGTGCTGGAGTGATAGCACAGCGGTAGGGCGTTTGCCTTGCACACAGCCAGCCCAACTGAGCCAGGTTCAATTCCTCCGCCCCTTCCGAGAGCCTGGCAAGCTACCATGAGTATTCAATATGCCAAACACAGTAACAAGAAGTCTCAAGATGGAAACATTACTGGGCCCAGTCGAGCAAATCAGTGTTTCTAACAGTGTTTCAGTTATTTTTAGTTCTACTTTTTTTTTTTAAATTGAACCACTGTGAGATGCACAGTTACAAAGTTGTTCATGATTGGGTTTGAGTCAGGCAATGTTCCAACACTCCTCCCTTTACCAGTGTACATTTCCCACCACCAGTGTCCCCAGTTTCCCTCCCACGCCTTCCCCCACAGCCTCCTCTATACCTCTCTCTCTCTCCCTCTCCCTCCACCCTCCCCTCCCCTCCCCTCCCCTTCTTAGGCGCTGTGCTTTGCAATCCTGTTACTGAAAGTAAAACCTGGTTTTCAACTCTCTTTGCCAGACTGAGCTAAGCACCTCCAGATCCCTGATAATCAGGAGCTCTTCAAGCTCTTCCTCTCAGCGTGGCGCCTCGCACAACCTTCTCCTCTCCCTGCCCTTCCGCTCCTGTGGGAAGATGTTGAAGTTCAAGTATGGGGGTGGAGCCCGGAACCCCCCGGATGCTGGTGCTGCTGAGCCCATTGCCAGCCGGGCCTCCAGGCTGAACCTTCTCTTTCAGGTAAGGGCCGCCCTGCACATGTGGCTCAGCGGTTTCCTGGGACCTCCTTGTCGCTCCGTTTGTCTTAGCAAGATTTGAGGCCAGTTCCGGGAGGATCCTATTTGGTGTTTTACACGCCCGGGAAGTAGTGAGGAACGTCGCCTGGACAGCGAGGAAAAGAGGTCTGGGGTGTAGCTCAAAGGCTTAGCGCACATTCTGTGCATGTGGGAGGCCTGGGTTCAGTGCCTAGCACCCAGTGGTCCCCCAGGCCTTGAACCAGAATCAACCCTCAGCACTGTCACATGTGGCTCCTTCTAAATCGAGCACTGTAGCACTGTGCTCCCATTGTTTATCCATTTGCTCCAGCGGGCACCAGTAACATCTCCATTTGAGACTTGTTGTTACTGTATTTGGCATACTGAATATGCCACGGGGAGCTCGCCAGACTGTGCCGTGCAGGCGGGATACTCTCGGTAGCTTGCCAGGCTCTCCGAGAGGGGCAGAGGAATCGAACCAGGGTTGGAGGCGTTCAAGGCAAATGCCCTACCCGCTATGCTATCACTCTAGCCCTTCCAAATCAAACGCAAAACAAACAAGAAAATCAGATCGGAGAGCCTAACTTTCCCAAGACCCAGAGACTATAAAACCCAGCTCCCGGGAAGAGAACAGAGTAGAGTCTCCTGCCCCCGCGCCTGGCTGTCCTCGCCAGTGCCCCTTGGAGGGGGGCGGGTTGAGTTTCCCTCCGTGCCCCGAGCAGAGCGCCGGCAGCCGAAGACCTCCAGAACCAGCCACCACCATGCTGAGACCACTCTCCACACGCATGAAGGTACCGGCAGAGGAACAAAGGCACGCGGGTCCCGGGGCTGAGATCTCCAAGCCTGCTCGGATTGGGGCTGAGCATCCTCCACCCAGATCCTCCATCTTCCAGTAGGCAGGGGTCACACCCACAAACTGGCCCCCTGGCACTGTGTAATCCCATCAACGGCCAAGACCTAGAGACTATAGAACCCAGCTCCCGACATCTTATTATCTCATTCTTACTTTGGACAACCTGGCAGGCTACCGAATGTAACCTGCCCACACGACAGAGTCGGGCAAACTCCCCGTGGCGTACCCAATATGCCAAATACCAGTAACAATGATGGGTCTCATTCTCCTAACCCTGAAAGATTTTAAAATCTCAGGGCTAGGACGAAGGAGACGTTACTGGGGCCTGCTTGAGGCAATCGACGAACAACAGGATGATTGTGATCGTGATTGTAAACTTTCCCTTAAAGAGTTTTTTTTTTTTTTCTTTTTTTGGCTATACCCAGTGGTGCTTAGGGTTAACTCCTGGCTCTGCTCAGGGATCACTCTTGGCAGGGTTAGAGTGATGCTTAGTATCAGCATATTGTTTTAAAAAAAAAAGGGAAAAAGAGCTTATACAGAATTAGGCAAAGTCCCACGTCCTTTATATGGTGTATGGTATTAGTCCCCACAATCCTGAGAATGAGGCGCTAGAATATTTTTGTTTATTTATTTATTTATGTATTGGCTTTTTTGGGTTCCATCCGGCAGTGCTCAGGGCTTACTTCTGGCTCTGCACTCAGGAATTACTCCTGGCGGTGCTTGGGGGACCATCTGGGATGAATCAAACCTGGTCGGTTGTGTGCAAGGTAAACGCCCTACCCATTGTGCTATCCCTCCGGCCCCCATAACCTAATTTTAAGGAGTGGCCAGTGAACTCAAAAGGAAGCAGCTGTCTCACCCCATGTAAGAGCTAGGGAGTGCTGAGGTCAAGCCTAAATCCACACCACTATGTCTCGTGTCCCCTGACATCCGAATCCATAAGTCAGCCAGGGGTTTCTACATCACATGTGCTGTCCCCATCAGGAGCAAAAGCCTTGAAAATAATCTCACGATACTAAGGTTTCAAACTTAGGATCCTGAAGGCAGTGTGAATTTCACAGATGTGGTATTTATCAACACCTTATTTATTTATTTATTTATTTATTTATTTTTCATTGTTGGGCCACAATCAGCCGTGCTCAAGGCAAACGCTCAAGCCACTTCTTGTGGCTCTGAACTCAGGAATCACTCCTGGCGGTGCTCCGGGGATTAAAACTGGGGATTGAAACCGAGTTGGGTGCATGCCTCTCCCCGCAGTACCGTTAGCCCCTCAACACCTCTCTGAAAATGTGAAAACATATACACATCCCTTGAATGAAAAGAAATAGGATCATACTTACAGAAATCCTGGGCCAGTGCCTTTGTTGGTCTGTTTCTCTTTCGTCACCGGAAGGACACGTGTAGTGCGGAATGTGGAGGTGGGGCACCAGCCCTTCGTCCCCACAGCTGAGGTTGGGTCCCCGGCACCGCCTGCCCCTGTGCACTGCTGGGGGTCACTCCTGAGCACAGAGCCATGAAATGCCCCGAGCACCTCTGGGTGTGCCGGACTACAGCGGTTCAAATGCTTGGGTTAGTTGAAACTGTGGAGGCAAGTCGAAAGCTTAGGGGCCAGCTGTCCCGTGGGACCAACTCTGTTCCCGTTTTGAGACGCCTGTATCCTTGCATATAGATGCTTAGACATATGTAGTGTATGCTGGAGCTCGAACCCGGGGCCTCATGCTTGCAAGGCAAGAGCTCCCCCGTTGAGCCACATCCCTGCCCCTGGAGTTGTACTTCTCACCCATGAGTAATCTGTCTCTAAACGTTAGCTGGCTGGAGCCCTGCCACCCTTTCATCTTTCACCTTTCTATGATTTCACTCTGAAACATTCCCACCTCATCACAAAATAATTACTCGCTTATTAAGGGCTTATCATGGGCTGATTCTGTAATAAGGGTAATTTCCAGTGTGCGGGGCACAGAGCCCATGATTCCTGGTCATCTTGTGGCCAGCCCCATGACAGAGGTAGGGACTGTTCCTGTGACATTTCAAACAGGAGGAGGTGGATGTCAAAGGAGGCAAACATTTGCCCCAAACCTTGGTGCCTATAAATGGCAGAGCAAGCTCTGCTCAGCTCTGACTCCTGAGGCCGGCGCGGGACCTTACTGGGCAGCCCTGCCTGCCCCGGTGGAGCGTAGGTGGGCCCTGTATGTTGGGACCTCAGCGCTGGCAAGAACTTGAGCAGGTCTTTAATTCACCTCTTGAGTGATGGGTTCCTCCGTGTCCCCATGAAGCTGGTATTTGCAGTGTAGCAAACAGCCCGCATCTCTGCCGGAAGATGGGAAGGGTTCCTGCTCTGTCTCCGTCCGGTGCTGCGGGAGGGGCTGAGAGGAGTGACGGCTTCCGTTCCGCCGAGCCCTTTCCCCGCATCCCAGAGTGTTTGCTTTCCTCTTAGCAAACGCCACTTCCCAACTTGGAGTCGGTGCTTAGCAGACTCTCAGTTCTTGAACTAGCAATTTTATGAGGGAAAATCAGAAAATTTGCAGGGCCAGCCAAAGGTTTGCTATTTCTTTGTTTTGTCAGAGTGTATAAAAATAGATAAAGAAGGACAGCCTATTTTCTTCCAGACCTTCTTATTTAATAAAGAAAGGACATTTGAGGAACAGCTAGACAGAAAGGACATCGTTCTGGAATGACCATTTGATTGTTTTTGCTGGGGAGGGTTTAGGCCATACTTGGCAGTACTCAGGCTTCACTCCTAGCTCTGTGCTCGGGAATTGCTCTTGGTGGTGCTCGGGGGACCATGTGCAGTGCTGGGGATCGAACTGGCGATGTACAAGGCGAACATCTTAGCCCTGAACTGTCTCTGCAGCCCCTCAGGGACTGTTTGAAAATTCGTATCCATTTAGCCTTATAGAGAGTCATGTGATATTCTTCATCTTCTTTTTTTCCATTTCACGACAGACTTCCACTTAATTAAGAATCACTGTTAAGGCCGGAGCAATAGTGGGGAAGGTGCTGGCTTCCCTTGCACTGGCTGACTCAATCCCTGGCACCCCGGGTGGTCCTCTGAACCCTGCCTTGAGTGGGTCTCTGAGTGGAGAGCCAGGAGAAAGCCCTGAGCACCACCAGGCATGACCCCCAAACAAAAGGAAACAGAACAAAGGAAAAAAATAAAAAGAATCTGTTTGAACTGCCCTCTGCCTAAACTGAGTGGTGAGGAGGAGGAACAAAGGACAGAGTTTGTTTTTCTACTTAATGGGTTAATGGGCAACTTCCCGACACAGCATGGTGGCTGTTCCCCCCAGCCCTGGGTTGAGTCTGCACCAGTCCCTTCTGCACCTGGCAGCGTGACTCAGTGGCGGCTCCCACGTCATCGGGGGAATGTTCAGAGGGCAAGCTTTCGGTAGATCTGGGGCTGTTTCAAGAGAAGCCAGAAACCCTGCCATCCCCTTTCTGGGCGAAATTGCCCGATTTTCTTTCCTTTTTTTCAACATTGGCAGATAATTCAAATTATTTTCAATACTCTGGGCCAAACAAAACATGTCTGTAGGCTAGATACAGTCTGCCAGTTTGCAGCTGCTGCTCTGGTCTAGATCATGAATAAATTCAGCACGAGGGCACTCATGCCCATCACGCCACTTTAGATTCCGAAGTCAGAGCCACAAACCTCTGGGCACTCCTGACGGAATTGACCATCACCATTGGCTTTTGTAGAGGCCCGGGAACACATCAGGGCCGGTAGGGCGCGGGGGACTTGTTTCCAAGGGCCTTGTCTGGTTGAAAGAAGGGACTTTTCATATCAACATCTGAGGGGCCGGAGAGAGGAACCCGCGGTGACGGAATAGTCCGAGGGATCTTTTAACGCTGCGGTCGGTGTCACTTTCAAGGAGGCAGCCACTGAACTGTGTTGGGAGCGCGTCGTGAGCTCTTAGTCGAGTTGGTGGCTGGTAATCTGTTCCGTGTGGATGTTATTGATCAAAGCTGTTCATTATTGACAGTGTCTCCATCTGCTGTTTGCTGTTTTTAGGGGAAACCACCCTTTCTGACTCAACAGCAGATGTCTCCTCTTTCCCGGGAAGGGATGTTAGATGCCCTCTTTGTTCTCTTCGAAGAATGCAGTCAGCCTGCTCTGATGAAGATCAAACACGTGAGCAACTTTGTCCGGAAGTGTAAGTTTGGAGATTGTCTTCTTGCTGGAGAAAACAGGAAGGAGGCCAGAGGCAGGAGGGGGCAGTGGTTGGTGCTGGTGGGAAAGGACTTGGCTCCAGGTCAGACAGACCCAACCTCAAGGTCAGGTTCCACTTCCTGTAGTCAGGAGACTGCATCCACCAGGCCTCTCGGTAACAAGTGACAGATACTCAACTGAAAATAAGCTTATGCCCCAAACCTGAATTTGTTGGGTTCATGAAATGGAGAATTCAGGGATGAGTCCAACTTTAGGAAGAGCTGGTGCCAAGAATTAAAAATGGGGCCTTTTTTGGTACTCTCTTGGGACTAAAGAGGTACCAGATCTAAGAGCTCAAAGTGTTTGACCCTAAGATGTTGAATTTATTTTTAATTTGTTTAGTTTATTTATTCCCCCTCCTCCTCTTTCTCTTTTGCTTAGGAGTTATTCTTTTTTTTTTTTTTTGGGTCATACCTGGTGATGCACAGGGGTTCCTCCTTGCTCTGCACTCAGGAATTACTCCTGGCAGTGCTCGGGGGACCATGTGGGATGCTGGGAATTGAACCTGGGTCGGCTGCATTCAAGGCAAATGCCCTCCCCGCTGTGCTATCGCTCCAGCCCCTCAGAAGTTATTCCTGGCTCTGCAATCAGGAATATTCCTGGCAGTGCTCTGGGGGACCATATGGGGTGCTGGGGATCAAACCCGGGTCAGTCAGGTGCATGCAAGGCAAGCTTCCAACCCACTGCACTCTTGCTCCTGCCCCTATTCATTTATTTTTGTGGTAATTAAAATCATGCCCGGAGATGTTTATGGCTTACTCCTGGCTCTGCATGCATGGTCTGTTCTTGGTGGGGCTCTGGGGACCTTATGTGGTACAGGAAATCGAATGAGGACTGGCCACAGGCAAGGGTTACAGTCCTGCCTGCTGTCATATCGCTGGGGCCCAATTTTAGTTCATTTTAAAATCATCAGAAAAATGAATATAATGATTGTGTGGACTCCCACCTTAATTTCTTTCACCTTCAACTCCTCAAACAGGAAGCTGGGAGGGCAGACAGGCAGGACAGGTGCAAGTCCCTGAGCACCTACAGCCGGTTCCTTTGTCCCAAGGCTGCCCCTCTGGTCACTTTGAAACCACGTTTCTTGGCCCGTTCAGTAATCAGTGGCCAGGCTGGGTGAAATTTAGATATTTTTCTAACGTAATCGTCTTCTGGGGGATTATTCCATTTCTCTGAAGAGGCATCCTGGAGAGTATAGTTGAGAGGCTGTGATTGAAATGACGGTGATTTCATTAGTCTGATTTTGGCTTTCCTTTCAACTCTAGTTTTGAGAATAACCCTAGATTTTCCATGGACAGAACAGTTCAGCAGCTGCTTCTGCATAAATTTCTTAAGTCTTGCCATAGAAATGGATATTTTCTTTGGGAGCTGTAGAAGGAAATGAGGAAGAGAGTATAGGCCTGATGGGGTGCTCCTTGCTAGGGCCCAGGGAAGGCTGGGAAGGGATTTTTGTATTATTAAATACTTACTTATCCCCAGTACTTAAAAACAGTGCCTGGCATATAGTAGGCATTCAGTAAACAATGGTTGACTGAGTCTTTTGCTGAGTGAACTAAATAAGCAGCAAAATTCTTATATAGGGTGTCTTTTTATTTGCCTAAAAATAAGTCTTTGGTAATTGACAAAGTTAAGTCAGACCTGATGGTGCTCAATGCTTTTTTCCTGGCTCTGTGCGCAGGGGTCACTCCTGGTAGTGCCTGGGGCCTCTGTGGTGCCAGGGATCACGTCTGACTCACCCACATGCAAGACCAGTGCCCTACCCACTGAATTATCTCTTCCACCCTATTGGTTGTTTGATAGTAGCTGAAATTCTGTCTGCTTTGAGCTATATTTACTGTAGGCAGAAGCTTCTGTTTGTTTACAACTTTAGTTGTTATGAACAGACTATCACTTTAAGAAATTTCTTCTAATTGCAAGTAAAATCAGCATTGTGTCTGAAAGGCTAACGTGAGAAAAATGACTTGAAATTTTGCCTGTCTTGAGATAACCACTGTTACCAGTTTCTTAAAATTAATTTTTATTAAAGACACTGTGTTTTACAGAGACAGTTGTTTCAAGCATGTCGTGTTCCAACACCAGCAGTGTGATGTCACATTCCCCCCACCAATATCTTCAGTTTCCTTCCCAATCCCAGCCTGCCCGTTAGGCACATAACAAATTTACTTTATATTGCTTATTCCAAGAAACCTTTAAGAATCGGCAAATGGAATGATCAGAAAATAAGAGCCATAAGAGCCAATTTGTGATTACTGTATGGTTTTTACATATGTAAATAAGAAAATTTGAACCTTTTAATACAATAAAATGCCTATTCTCATTTACATGTGTATGATTTCAACTCTGGAATCTAAAGTATATTACATTAAGTTTTATATTTGGATCTTGTTAACAGTTTTGGTGCAGTGTCTTTTCTCCCTTAAAAATATCGATAACAAGGGCTGGAGAGATAGTACAGTGGGTAAGGCACTTGCGTTGCATACGCCAGACCTGGGTTTGATCCCCAGAACCTCATATGGTCCGAGCACCACCAGGAGTGATCCCTGAGTGCAGGTCCAGGAGTAACCCTCAGCATTGCTGGGTGTGACCCAAAACCTGGAAAAAAAAATTATGGGGACTGGTAAGATAGTACAGCAGAGAGGGCACTTGCCTTGCATGCTCCTGACTAGACTTGTTCATTGGCATCACATAGGGTCCCCTGAACACCACCAGGACTCATTTATTAGCGCAGAGGCAAGAGGAACCCTTGAGCATTGCTGGGTAGCACTGTAACACTGTCCTCTTGTTGTTTATCGATTTGCTCGAGCGGGCACCAGTAAATTCAGCATTGTGAGACTTGTTACTGTGTTTGGCATATCAAATACGCACGGGTAACTTGCCAGGCTTTGCCATGCGGGCGAGATATTCTCAGTAGCTTGCTGGGCTCTCCGAGAGGGGCAGAGGAATCGAACCCGGATCGGCCATATGCAAGGCTAGGGTTAGCCCTACCTGCATGCTGTCACTGTGGCCCAAGCATCGCTGGGTATGGCCTGAAAACAAACGAAAAAATGGCTGTGGAAAATTTCAAGCTCTAAGAGCAAAGTGGTTTGGATGATAAAGCCCTTTTGCCACTCAGCCGGCCCTAGAAGCTTTTACCCTTCTCCAGCAGGGCCGGCCCTTCAGCACTGTCCTCCCGTTGTTCATTGATGTGCTCGAGCGGGCACCAGCCATGTCCCGCAACAAACTGGAAGACTTGGTTGTTACTGTGTTTGGCATATCGAATATGTCACGGAGAGCTTGCCAGGCTTTGCTGTGTGGGCGAGAGGCTCTCGGGAGCTGGCCGGGCTCTCCGAGAGGGGCGGAAATCAAACCGTGTTCGGCTGCGTGCAGTCCAAAAATGCCCTATTGCTCCAGCCCAGGTCTGAGGTATTTTTATTTAAATGGCCCGTGTTCGTTTGGTGTTTTGCCACTGGCTTGACTCACTTGCAGTATGTTCACTCAACAGATACATAGATGAATATATTTTTGTGCCACACGTGGTGGTGTTCATGTGTTTGGGGTCTTTCCTCGTGGTGCTCCGGGAACCATGTACTGGATCTCCCACAGGAAAAGCACGCACTGAGCCCGCAAATCATTTCTCTGGCCCCACACAGTTATTTGTGGCGCTCTCAGGATATCTGTTTTTCTTTTTCTCTTCCTTTTCCTTTCCTTTTTTAAGGTTAGTATTATTTAGAAAAATGTAAGAATGGGTGGAGAGAGAGAGACAGACAGACAGACAGAGACAGAGAGAGAGAGAGATTGATTGCAGGTGGTTGTTCTTTGCAATAATTGCTTGATACTTTTTATCTGAAGGGCTTTTCACAGGCATTAAGACACATTGCTAGGCTGTGGCCAACCCAGATTTGATCCCTGTGGTCCCCTGAACACTAGGGTCACGCCGCGGGCTCCTTGTTCCCACCAGCACTGCCCTGTTGGCTGAGATTCCCCAAGAGGCTGTCCTCCCTCCGTCCCCCTTCCCCCATCATGCTTCCACTTGGTATGCCTTTAATTTATTTCTTCATGACATACCGTTGAAATGCCTCTAGTTTATGTCTATTTTTTTCAAGCTTATGTGCCGACATTCTTGGGGAGGATCAATTCTAGAAGTTGGAACGTTGGATTGCTGAGTTTCACACACACACACACACACACACACACACACACACACACACAGGCCATACACTCAGCTGTTTGACTCTGCCACCTGGATCCCAGTGTTGGTCCTGCAAGCTCATTCTTTGCACTTACTGCTGCTCCTTGGGTATTTATCACCACCTCAGTGTTCAGTGCCCACAGGGCTCTTAATTGCTATAGCAACAAGGGTACCAGGAGGATGTGGCTTCAGAGTCAGAAGCTGCTGGTGGGGAGAGAACATGTGTGATGTCTTTCCTTTAAAAAAGAAAAATAATAAATTAAAAATATGTATGTAGGAAACCACAGATTTGGGTCACATATCAGCTGCTCATCTTAATGATCCAAAGCTTTTGGATAAGTCCAGGGACATAGTCTACGAGTTCAGACGCTCCTTGCGCTTGCCCGACCTGGGTTAGATCCTGGCCTCACCTTTGGATCCCGAGGCATGGCCAGGAGCCGCTCCCTGAGCACAGAGCCAGGAGTAAGCCCTGAGCACCTCAGTGTGTGGCTCAAATCCCAAAGCGAACCAAAACAAAAAGACCAAAGCCTTTGGATAAAGACGTAGGAACTTGGAACAGTTTCTCAGAAGTCTGCGAGTGTCCTGGTGGTGTTGCTGTAAGCGTTTTGTCTACTGTGTGATTGAGATGCCTGCCAGCTGTTTGTGACAGATGCACATTATTAAGTTGGACAAAGCTGAAAGCAGGCCCAAGGCCTCAGAAGTTGCCGACCAGACAATTTGGGGAATTATAACTCAAAATCCAAATGTTTGTAAGAAAGTTGGAAAAGGACAGGGAAGTAAGAGGGGGCTTAGCACAGTGATGTCAGGGCAGAAGAAAAGCACACAGTGTTCGATTTGCTGCTGCCTGGAATTCTTCAGGAAGGAGCTCTCGGTTTTTATTGTATTTTTTGTGGGGGTGGGGAGCGGGGACTGCACCCAGCTGTCCTCAAGGGCTATTCCAGGCTCTTTGGTCAGCATTGACCCCTGCTGGTGTTCAGGGAACCAAGTATGGTGCCAGGGCTTCAAATGAGGGTCGACTGCATGCAAGACAAATGTCTTACTCTGGTCCTTTCTCTCCAGTCTTTGGTTTCTTTCTCTCTTTAAAAAAAAAAATATTTTATGTATTTTATTTTTGCTTTTTGGGTCGCACCCAGCGGTGCTCAGGGGTTACCCCTGGCTCTGCACTCAGTAATTACTCCTGGCTGTGCTTGGGGTACTCTATGGGATGCCGAGGATCGAACCTGGGTTGGCCACATGCAAGGCAAACGCCCTCCCCGCTGTGCCATCAAACCGGCCTGCTTGGTTTATTTCTTAAGATCATCTTGGGGCATACATATGGGCCGACCCACAAGCGTGTCTGATCCCTCAAGGTCAAAGGGTGCAGTTTGTGAGTGAGTGGAGTGGCTCGTGGCGGGAGACACAGTGTCTTGGGGATCGTCCTGAGAACCTTTGAGTCCAGTGACTTCGCTCCACCCAGGCAGCTAAGGAAGGGGACGGGTAATAATTAAGCTTTTCCGGGCTAATTCATCATTAGTCCGCTCTGTGTCTGTGTGTGCAAATGGCTTTTCCCTTCACTGCACTCAGCCCTCCTTGTTGGAATAACAAGCTGGGTTGCATGCATGTCTAGGACGAAGGTCCGTCTGTCCTTTTCCCCTGCCTCACCCCCGGGAACTGTCCGCCACTTGGCCGTATGTGCTTGGTGTCTTCCTTGGGACGCGAGCTCTAGAAGGGACCTAGTTTCTCTAAGGTGTGCAGGGTTGCATTTCCTCTGTTCTGGGCAGGTGGTGGTGTTTTCGTCTGTCCAGTGATTCCCCAGCTGCTCAGCTGTCCTGGGGTGTTCATGAATGCATGCTGGGCTCCAGATCTGCCATCCGCCTTTCAAAAAAAGTGAGATTCTATACTTTTCAATGCAGTTAATAATGGTTTGCAATCACAGAATTCCCACAGCACACCTGTCACAGGTGCGCCCCCTCCGTCTCCCTTGGATCCAGTGCCCCGGCCTCTGACCCTTCCCCTCCCACCCACACAGCCAAGAGGCTCAGCTCTCCCATCTGCCGCCTTCGCTCCTTTGTCTCGGCCTTGCTGAATGGCTCTAAGTCCCACGAATGAGTGAGATCGTTCTGCATCTGCCCCTTTCCTTTTGACTGATGTCGTTCTGTATATTATTCTCTAGTTCCATTCGTGTCGTGGCAGATGGCTTGATTTTATTTTTCAGAGCTGTGTAGTATTCACCATGTACACATACGTTGCCTTCCTGGGCCATTCACCCGTAGCTGGGCAGCTGGGTTCCTTTCGTAGCTTGGCTATTGTACTAAGTGCAGCAGTGAACAGAGGTGTGCAAATAGTCTTTGAAATTGATGTTTCTGGGGCTGGAGCGATAGCACAGCGGGTAGGGCATTTGCCTTGCACGCGGCTGACCCGGGTTCGATTCCCAGCATCCCATATGGTCCCCTGAGCACCGCCAGGAGTGGTTCCTGAGTGCAGAGCCAAGAGTAACCCCTGCGCATGGCTGGGTATGACCCAAAAAGCAAAAAAAAAAAAAAAAATGACATTACTGCCAATATGCCAAGCAGTGGTCTTGCCAGGTCATGGGGGAGACCTCCTCTAGCCCATGCTTTCGGCATTGAGCCTCTCTGCCTGCCATGGACTGAAAATCCCTCTGTGGATTTTGAGCCCTGGTTTGGTGGTGGCGGAGGTGGCGCTGTTGGTACCCCGATGGAGAGGCGCTCGTGAGATCAGAGTCTGTATTGCGAGAGGCTGAGAGATGGGAGTCACCGCTCGTTCTGCCGTGTGAGGACACAGCGAGCTGGGCCACAGGCCCCACCTGGCGCTGACCTTCAGTGGGCACGTTTGCCCTGGGCGCGCTGGCCTGCAGGACTCTGAGAATTGAATGTGGCTTCAAGCCCCCTGATTGCGGCTGTTTTGTGAATGGAGCTCGAGCCGCCTCGGCAGCTAAGAGATGGCACCCGGGAGAGACGGGGAGGATGGTCTGTCTGCGTAGGGGAAGGTGATCACCGGGGCCAGGGCGATAGCACAGCAGGGAGGGCAGGGCGTCTGCTTTGCATGCGGCCGACCCAGGTTCAATCCCTGGCATCCCATATGGTCCCCCCAAGCACAGCCAGGAGGAACCCCTGAGCATTGCCGGGTGTGACCCAAAAAGCCAAAAAAAAAAAAAGAAAAGAAAGAGAGAGAGAGAAAGGTAATCGTAGAGCCCTCCAGCTGTGTGAAATGTCAACTCTGCAGAGCGAGAATCAGGCTCCATTGGGTTCCTTGGACTCAGGCTCGCCCCTCGGTCGTACTGTCGTGTATTAGGCATTCATAAGGGAGACCGTCGCTATTACTGACCCAGTCCAGAGGCGGTGAGAGGGTTAGTGCAGAGAAACAGACTGCCTGCAGCTAGAGTGCGAGGCTCTGGAAGTCAAACCAGCCCCGTTGCTTCCCTCCCGTCCCTTGTAAAGGCGTGTAAATGCTGGTCAGCCCATTTGACCAGGCGCTTGCCTGCAGCCATCAGCGGGGAGGAAGCGAGCAAGCGAGCGGGATCCTCCTTCCCCTGTTCTCTTGGGCGATGGAATTCAAACGGCAGCTGCCATGGAAACTGCTCTGGAATTTCTGGAGCCCTTAATTTTAACTTAACATATAAAAACATTTTTTTTGATGCTGATTTTATAATTATTCATGACGGATGGGAGACTGACTAAATGTCTCTTGACAGTAAGGGAAGACATAAAAACACCTTTCTTTCTTTTCTTTCTTTCTTTCTTTCTTTCTTTCTTTCTTTTCTTTCTTTTCTTCCTTCTCTTTCTCTCTTTCTTTCTCTCTTTCTTCTCTCTCTCTCTCTCTCTCTCTCTTCTTTCTTTCTCTGTCATAAAGCTGCATGGCAGGGCAGCGCCCTCGTGACCCGAGAGTGACACCTCCCAACGCTTCCCTCTCCTGCAGATGCCGACACCATCGCTGAGCTCCAGCAGCTGCAGCCTGCAGCCAAGGACTTTGAGGTTCGAAGCCTCGTTGGCCGTGGTCACTTTGCTGAGGTGCAGGTGGTCAGAGAGCACACGACCGGGGACATCTACGCCATGAAGGTCATGAAGAAGAAGGCCTTGCTGGCCCAGGAGCAGGTAGGGGCCCAGTCTGCCTCCTGCCCCCAGGCACCCCTGCGCTCCCAGGCTTGAGCACGTTTGCCCGGGGGCTGTCCATAGTTAGTGATGGCTGCTAGGGCCACTGAGGTCTGGTGTCCTTCGCTCTTCTCTCCGAACCATCGTTGGGCTGATTCTGAGGGCTCCCAGGCTCCCACTGGGTCCTCGATTTGTCTCTACTTGCAGTTTATTCTGAACCAACGGGGCCCGTCCCGCTTCTGAGGCGAGCTGCCAGGCCCCTTGGCTGGGAGTTTCGGGAGACGCAGGTCTTGGGGTGAATCAGAGAGCGTTGGCTTCTGTTCACACTTTCGATCCTGTCGCAGGGGGTGTGTACTTGATTTCTGAAACAGGCCCTTGAAGGAATGAGGCGAGGGTGGGCTGGGGGAACTGCTCGTGTGAGCGGAGCGGAGGCGTCGTCCTCGTCCAGGCCGTCTTTTTCTTGTTTTCCGTACGGCGGCCGCCCCAGCCTTATTGATTCACAGGCTGTGTTTCTAGAGAGGGCCATCAGCCTTGCGGCTCAGAGAGTAATTTATTAGTTACAGACATTTGAGAGCACATCATGTGTCTGATAATGTACCAGGCTCTGTGGGGCGCCTGTGAAAGGAATTGGAGCTCCATGGCTGTTGGTTTCAGGGTTTAAAAACAACCTTGGAAAGCGCAGGAAAAATGCAAATGTGGAAAGCCGGCGCCTACCAACTCAGGCATCGCGGAGGGTGAGAGCAGTGGGCAGATTTACATGCGATGGGTCAGCCGGGGTCAGTGGGGAGACTTCCCTCTGCAGGGGTGGCACATGGGCAGAGACGCGGCGGAATGTGCGCGGGGCGGCGTGGGGCACGTCCCAGAGGTCTGGACGTGCCCCTGCTCTGTAGGTGGGCTTAGTTCTCAGGGGTTTACAGTCAGTCAGCCGGAAGGAGAAGTAGGGGGATAATTCATGGGCAAAACAGATCTGCAGGTCCTGTCTTGTGGGGTCTGGAAAAAATATTCATGTCATAACGTTTATCCCCTTTTAACCTTTTTCGAAGGTCTTCCCAGTAGTGCTCGGGAGGAGAGTGGGTGGATGGTGCCCACAGACCTCCTCTGTCAACTCAGCTGTCGGGTTGGAGAGAGGGCCTGGCGTGGAGTGCTGCGTGGGTTCTGCCATGCTGGGGGGACCTGCGTCCTGCGTGGCACTGCTGAGGGCCTCCAGGGATATGTCCAGGGATGCTTGGGGGACCATGAGGTGCCAGGCATCGCACCTGGGCCTGTGTGTGCATGCCAGGCTTCTTCCTGCTTATCACTGTGCTGTCTCCAGTTCCATGTGTGTGTGTGTGTGTGTGTGTGTGTGTGTGTGTGCGCATGCGAGAGAGCGGGGAGTGGGGTGCGGGCGGGCAGGCGGGGGTTGCTGTTAGGTCTACACTCAGGGGTCTCTCCTGGTGAGGCTTGGGGGACCATACGTGGTGCTGGGGTTCAAATCTGGGTTGGCCACAGAGCAGGTAAGTGCCCTTTCTGCTGTGCCATCTCCGCTCCTCCTTGTAACCATTTCATCTATTTATTTTGTTTTGGGGCTACACCCGACAGGACTTGGGGTTTACTGCTGGTGGACCACATGGGGCGTGGGGGATCCATCCCAGGTCGGCCACTTGCAAGGCAAATGTCCTCCCTCCGTGCTCTGCTCTTTGTCTGCATCTGCTCCCCCCACACCCTGTGCAGTTTTCTGGGTCCTTGAGGGCATGCCCTGAGTTCCAGAGGGGTTTGGAAGGGACTTCCTTGGTCCAGGAGGAAGGGTTGGTGCTCCGAGACAGTATGTTCCTCTCCTGAGTGGTCTCAGACAGCTCAGAATTTGTGGGTCGGACGGAGTTGTAGCCCTGAACACACCTGAGTGATGCCAGATGCCAGAATCACTTGGGGGGCTCTTGGGGGCGTTCCCTGGGTCTGAGAGGGGTTTGGGAGGGGCCTCCTCAGTCCACGGACCCAGGAAGAAGTCTCAGACGGAGCAATAAGTTGTGGGGCAGGATAGGGGCTGGCATCCTTGAGGCACCGAATCCCCCTGCCTCCAGCGTCTTTAAGGGATGCTCAGAAGCGAGAGGCCCATCCACGGCGTGCTTAGGCCCGCGGCAGCCCTGCTCCTAGACTTCTTCCCCGTCCCAGCTAGATGCTCTGTGCCCGTGAACCAGCAACTTAGCGGTCCCTCGGGAACCAGCCTGGAGTTGCAGTTCCGTGGGGGAGGTGTCTGTCTGGGGAGCGATCAGGCTTCTGGAAGGAGGGGGTCGGGGTCGGAGGCAGGAGAGGGGAGTGGCCCTGTGTGGCCTTCGAAGAGCCAGTGAGAAGCTCCCCCGAAGTGGATGGATCGTAGGCCCATGTTTGGGAGTGGACGTGAGCGACGTAACACGGAAGGTAAAATGGCAAAACGTTGCTGATCTTGTGGGGAGAGGAGGGGATGCAGCCGGCCGACTGAGACGGATACACACCCACGGATGTCCCCCCTCCCCCCACAAGCTCCTGGGCCTCTGTATGTAAACTGCATGTTCACACGGATGCCTTCAAGTCCGCTCCAGCCTCACATGATTTGTTCTAGTTCTCGTTTTTATTTTGTTGTCGTTATTGTTTTGAGGTCTCACCTGGCGGTGCTCGGAGCTCACTCCTGGTGCTGCACGCACGGATCGCACCTCGCAGGCTTTGAGGACTGTTGGGGGTGCTGGGGATCGGCCTGGGCTGGCAGCATTCACAGAAAGTGCCTTACCCGCTCTTTTAGCTCTCCGATATCTCCCTTGCCCCCCTTTTCGGTGGTGGTTGTTTTGGGGCCACATCTGGAGGTGCTCAGTCCGTATTTACTTCTGGGTCTGTGCTCAGAGCCTTGATCCCACCTCGCCCCTCCTAGCTGCCCCCACGTCGTCCTCCTGGTCCTCCTTGGAGCTGGTGTTCTTTCCTGGCCCCATGGTGCCCTCTCCCTGCTCCTGGGCATGGATCTTTACCTGATTCTGCTCCGCCCAAGAATTGTTCAGGAGAAAAAGGTATTTATCCTGAGAAGATGTGAGCTGACTCATATTTATTTTGTGTTTGGGGATTGGCCACCCCCGGCAGTGCTCAGGGTTTAACTCTTCATCAGGAGTCATTCTTAGCAGTGCTTAGGGGATTACGGGTAGGGCCAGGGATTGAGCTGGGGCAAGCTTCATGCGAGGCAAGAGCCTTAATCCCTGGACTGTCTCTCAGGCCAAGCCAGCTGGCATTAAAGATTTTAAAAGGGGCTGGAGTAATAATACAGTGGGAGGGTGTGTGCTTGCACATGACCGCCGACCTGGGTTCGATGCCCAGCATCCCATATGGTCCCTCAAGCACCTCCAGGAGTAGTTCCTGAATGTAGAGCCAGTAGTAACTCCTAAGCATCACTGGGTGTGACCCAAAAAGAAAAAAAAGATTAAAAGAAAAACAAAAAGCTTTAAGCATCGCGGTTTGCAGTTATTAATAATACAGTTGTTTTGGGCGTTCAGTGTTCCAACACCAACCCCACCATTGTCCCCTGTGTCCCCCACCCAGCCCCCAATCCTGACCCTTGGTGGCACAAAATGATTTATTTTGTATCGCTTGCTACAGCAGCAATAGCAAAAAATAGTTCAAATAGCAAAAAATAGTCCAGTAAGAGAAGTTTGTGAAAATTGTCTTGTTCGTTTTTGGGGCCACATCCAGCAGCACTCAGGGATTACCCTTGGCTCATCACTCAGAAATTATTCCTGGTGGTGCTCAGGGGACCGTGTGGGATACTGGGATCAAGCCTGGGCCAGTTGTGTTCAAGGCAAATGCCCTTCTGGCTGGATTATCACTTCACCCCACTTTGTGAAAATTGTCATATCTCACAGTAATGCAGTCAAGTCATTTTTGAGGATTTGCTGAGCTGTTTGGTGCCTGGTGAGCCTTCTGTGTTATTGTTTTTGCTTGTTGAGCTTTGAGGGTTTTTCTGCTACTCCGCTGTCTCATTTGCTGTGCTCCTCCTGGGCTGTCCGGATGGTGGGATCTGGAGGTGCTGTGTGGCTGTGTGTAGGGCCACACGCTCCAGGAGCTCCAGGGCCTGTGTGCCTGCAAATTTCATGACTTGGTGGCTCTTAGAGATCAGTCGTGAAGCAGTGCAGTTGGGCTGCTTGTGTGGCGGTGGCTGTGGGTGTGGGTGCGGCTGCTGAGATGTGCCCCCCCCCCCCCCACCCCGCACTCCTGAAAACAGGCGGGCCCAGGATTCGCAGAGGCTGGACTTGCGTCTCTTCGACTCTTCTGAGATTAGTCTTGAAACTGTGACACTGGGCTGTTGACTTGGCAGTGGCTGTGGGATGTGGGTCTGAAGAAAGATTTTAGTAATCGAATTTGGCAAAAAAAAAAAAAAAAAAAAAAGGAAGCCTAATGAATGAATGAGATCTTGGGGAACACTGGCCTGAAGATGTCTTTCTTTTTAAAAAACAGCAAAAATTAGAGGATAAAAAACACTGAACACCCTGACAAACACAAACACAATGGCCTCTTAGTACCTGTTTTACAAACCATGATGCTGAGAGAGAGAGAGAGAGAGAGAGAGAGAGAGGAAGGGAGGGAGGGAAGGATGGGTGGAGGGAGGAAAGGAGCACTTGACTAGAGATGGGGTAGGGGTAATGGGAGGGAAACCGGGGACACTGGAGGTGGGAAACGTACACTGGTGGAGGGAGGAGTGTTGGGACGCTGTATGACAAACCCAATCATGACGAGCTTTGCGATGGCCTGACTAATGATGCTTTCATTGAAAACAACTAGAGGTAGCAGTTTCTGTCTAAAGAGAGAGGAAAGGGCATGCTTCTCCCCTTCACCCCACTTCACTCTTTATCTTATAATTGTCTAAAGAACTTTCCTCCCCCCCCCCCCCCCCCAGGTCTCATTTTTTGAGGAGGAGAGGAACATACTGTCTCGGAGCACCAGCCCTTGGATCCCCCAGCTACACTATGCCTTCCAAGACAAAGATAACCTTTATCTGGTGAGTCTCCGTGCCCAGCCCTCCAGGACTGGCCCGGTGCTATGATCCTCGGGGGTCCCTGTGCCGCTTCCCGATTCGGCCCCTGGCTCCTGGCATCCAGGGAGGTGCCCTCCCGCCTCTGCGGCGTCTTCCCGCTCTGGTTCTCCAGGCGAAGGGCGGCCCTGTTTGTGTCTGGCATTAGAGCTGGGACACCTTTTATTTGCCGTTGTCTGATACTACTTTTGATAGGATTTGGCTTTCAGAGCCCCTGACCTTTGGGACGTATCCAGTGGTGCTCAGGGCTCATTCCTGATCAGGGCAGTGAGCTCAGGAATCACTCCCAGGAGTGCTCAGGGATCGAACCTGGGCCGTCTGTGTGCCAGGCAAGTGCTGTTTCTGCTGTGCTGTCTCTCTGGCCCCTGGCTGAAGCTTTTAAATGAAATAATGCGTTCTGAATCTAAGCAAAGCAAATTCTGCAGGAATCTATGACATACAAGGGTAAGACCTCTGCCTTTTTTCTGCCCCTTGTTTGCTAGGGGCTAGAATTTGTTGATGGTATGTCTTTCTGGCCTGGACTGCTTGTCATGGAAATAACGTTTCCATGCCCGGAACACCTGTGCTGTAGTGTCTTCACAGTTAGAAGCAGTTGCATTGTATGTAGGCACTTCGGATGACTTGACTCTGGCGTCGCTGTTCTTTCCTCGTCCTTTGTGTTTGGCCACACTGGGCAGTGCTCAGGGTTTCCTCCTGGTTCTTAGGTCTCCAGTGACCGTATGTGCCCGGGATCAAACTTGAGATGGGACGGTGAGATGGCGCAGTGGGTAGGGCACTTGCCTTGTGTGCCGCTCACCCAGCTGGATCACTGGCACTGCATTTGGTCCCCGGAGCACTGCCAGGCGTGATCCCTGAGCACAGAGCCGGCGTTAACCCTGAGCCCTCCTGGGTGTGGCCCCTACACCACAAGCAGACAAACCCAAAGCATCCACGAAGCAGGAAGAAAAAAAACCCTGCCTCCCCCAAACCAAACCAAACCAAACCAAACCAAGCAAACCCGGGCCTCCTGCGTGCAGAGGCCCTGCTCAGCCCGCCGAGCTTTCTCTGTGTTCCCGTGTCTCCAGTCTCACCCCTACCGGTTGCCCTTGTCGCGGTGGTCAGTGTCCCCCCTCCTCTCTCTCCTCGCCCTGACTGAAAGCCAGGACTCTGCTTGCACTGAGCCTCCTCCCTCGCCCTGAGGACGGAGGCCCGCTCCCCGCTGCTGCCCTCCGGAGGCCCTTCCCCTCGGGGCCGTCCCCCGGCCTTTGCCGCAGTCTCGAGACTGAGCATCTCCTCGGACTGCGCCTGGAGGGCGGGGGGCTCTCTGGAGTCCCCGTGGCCCTTTGAACTGGCTGCACTGACAATCATGCAATCAGGGTTGGGTTTGTTCTTAGAGGCTTTGAGTGACACCCAGCACTGCTCAGGTAGCTCCTGGCTTTGTGCTTGGGGGACTGTGACTCCTGGCAGGGCTCGGGGGCCCTGTGTGGTGTCAGGGATCAAACCCGGGGTCTGCCATGCACGAGGCAAGTGCCTTCCCCCTGTACCGTGTCTCTGTGGCTTCTGGCATGCACCTTCCTGAATGACTCGGTGGCTTAGTACTGGTGCAATCTGTGACTCCCCCCTCTTCCCCTCTCTATATTCTTCTCTTTGTCCTTAGAAGTAGAACGCTTGCAAAAGGCTCCTTTTTAAATTTACTTAGTTTTGCGGTGTTGGGCATCAGAAAACTCAGGGTCTCACACATGCTTTTGCACTGAACTGCATCTCCAGCCCCAAGTTTTCAGATAAGAATACAAAGAGCCAGTGGGGATTACGATAGGATCAGCCGTCGACTGGCTTGGCCCTGCCTGCAGCTCAGGTGCCCGGGAGCACGGGCAGCCTTCACTTCTTCTGTTCTGCCTTGAACTCTGGCAAACTTGACCTGAACTCTCTTACTCATCCCTCGTGGTGTGACTTTCATCCATCTTGCTGCAAACATAAGAATGTGTTCGAGGGCTGGAGCAATAGCACAGCGGGGAGGGCGTTTGCCTTGCACGCAGCCAACCTGGGTTCGATTCCCAGCATCCCATATGGTCCCCTGAGCACTGCCAGGAGTAATTCCTGAGTGCAGAGCCAGGAGGAACCCCTGTGCATCACCAGGTCACTGTCACTGTCGCTGTCCTCCCATTGTTCATCAATTTGCTCAAGCGGGCCCAGTAACATTGTGAGATTTGTTACTGTATTTGGCATATCGAATACGTCACGGGGAGCTTGCCAGGCTCTGCCGTGCGGGCGAGATCCTCTCGGTAGCTTGCCGGGCTCTCCGAGAGGGGCGGAGGAATCGAACTCGGGTCGCCCATGTTGGCTGCATGTAAGGCAAACGCCCTACCCGTAGTGAGTGGTCGCAAGGTCAACCTAAACTCAACTTGCATCACCAGGTGTGATCCAAAAAGCCAAAAAAAAAAACCCAAAAAAGAATGTGTTTGATTACAGAGAGTGTTAGGTAACATAAAGCAAGTGCCAAGTTTCGCCTTCCAGTACCCGGAAGCTTTCAGCTTCCAGTGAAAGCTGATCCGGCATTCCTGCACCTGGAAATACTCTCTGCTGCAGGATCAGAGAACTGGAGAATCTCATAAAGCCCTGAAAACCCATCACAGCTGTTGGCCCCTTGCAGGGCACTGTTCTCCATGGGGGGGGGGGGGGGGGGAACGGGGGGAAGCATGCAGATCCTGGTGCATTTCCCCTGCAGCTGGACGTTCACCTGAATGCGGACGCCGAGGAGTCGGCGTGAGGCTTTTCCATCAACGAGAGGATCTCCAGTGTTCCACCCCAGCACGTCTTGCATCCCTACTGGGCGGTGTCCTGTGTCCGCCAGATGCGCAGTCAACCCCAGCATCCCCCTGCTCTTGGCCTGCCCTCCCCCCACGCCTCCCGGCTGTTATGACCCATCCCGACTCCCGGGGCCCCGGACAAGGTGCAGATGGTCCCGCACGCTCCCCAGCCCCTCTCCCCGCTTCTCCCGCGCCTTGTGCGTTCAGCCCAGAGTCCTTGGAACCTGCCCCTCACCTTTCTGCACGTGGTTCATTCTCTCCTGCTTTTCCCGTTGGTCTCTTTCCTTCTGGACTTTTCTCCCGAAGTCCTTTCCTTTCTTGTACCCTTGCCTTGGTGTGCTCCTAGCCCCCGAGGTGGTCACCTACCCAGACCACTCTTATATACAGGCAGCCATGATGTCCCCTTGCTCCCCCAGTGAATAGCTAAGAAATACTTGCTGGAGGAATCCAGGATTAATGTCATAGCACTTGACTTACATACAAATTTTGTCTACTGATGGGAACCACAGCCTGGTTTGGGTGTGAGTTTTGCTCTCTAAAGTATACGATTTAGGGGCTGGAGTGATAGCACAGCAGGTAGGGCATTTGCCTTGCACGAGGCCTGACCCGGGTTTGATACTCAGCATCCTATAAGGTCTCCCGAGCACGGACAGGTGTAATTCCTGAGTGCATGAACCAGGAGTAACCCCTGTGCATTGCTGGGTGACCCAAAAAGCAAAAAAAACAAAAACAAAAACAAAAAAAAAAACAAAACAAAGTATATAATTCAGAACACAGTCAGTGAGCAGTGTTTTTTTTTTTTTTCAAAACCGGAAGTGCAACTGAACTTGGGTCCTTTGGAAGTGTTGACGGTTTCGAATGCTGTTTGTGGTTACCCACTGGTGGCCGTGGCTGATGGGACACTGTAGTGAAGGGTGTGGGAATATCTGTCCGGTCCAGTGGGCTCGCCCGTGCGCTGGCAGGCGCCCGTGGAGCTGCTATGCTGATCCAGGTCGTGATGAAGTCTGTCCAGCTCGCTGTCACAGATGCTGCCACCAGTGTCCTTTACAAGGCAGAGACTGTTCTACGGGCCCTGCTTCAACCCCCAACCTCAGCTCTGCTGGGCCCTGGCTCGTCGGGAGGTGCTGGAAGCTCGCCAACTCTAGTGATGTTTGCTGGCCTGTGGGTCACTTCAGGTCGCCTTTGCACTGAGCTGAAAGGCAGGTGGGGGACCTGACACCCTCCCCCGGCTGCACTCAGGGATGTGTTAGTTAAGGCAGAGGCTGAGCCGGAGTTACTCTCTTTTTCTTTCTTTCTTTCTTTCTTTCTTTCTTTCTTTCTTTTTATTTTTGGAAGGTGATGTGAAGTTTATTTTATTTATTTTTTAGAAGTTTTATTTTAAAAAATTGAATCACTATGAGATACACAGTTGCGAAGGTGTTCATGGTTGGATCTTAGTCATGTTCCAGCACCTGCCCCTTCACCACCAGGGTCCCCACTTTCCCTCCCTTCCCCCTCCCCTAGGGCAGGCACTTTTCTTCTCTCCCTCCACCCCCCTCCTTTTGGGCATGATGGTTTGCACTAAGGATACTGAAAGGTTATCATATGTAACTCTTCACCTACTTTCAACACTCAGTTCTTGTTCAGAGTGGTCATTCCCAGCTGTCATTGTCACACTGATCCCTTCTCTATCCTAACTGCCCTCTGCCCCCCCCCCCCCCACACACACACACACTTGTGGCAGCTTCTAACCATTGACTTGTCCTTCCGGCCCCTGTTTACTCTGGCCTTGGATATTCGTCTCAGGCTAGTTTTTGTTTGCTTTTTGGTTGTCAGGGATTATTCCTGGCTCTGCACTTAAGAATTGCTCCTTGTGGTGTTCGGGGTCACCATATGGGATGCCAGGGATCGAACCTGGGTTGGCCACGTGCAAGGCAGCCCTACGTGCTGGACTATTGCTTCAGCCCCTGTATATTTTTTTAATCCCACAAATGAATGTAGTCATTCTGTATCTGTCCCTCTCCTTTTTTTAGAAAATTTATTTCTATAGATTTGTTCACAATAATTGATTCCATTCAATATTTCAACACCAATCCCACCACCACTCAAGCCTACCACACAGGCAGATGCTAGATAATTATTTTTGTGTTGCTTGTTATGGATGGTATAAGATATCGGTAAGGGTCTATCTCACAGTGATTC